TCCTCCTCCTCCTCCTCATCCTCTTCCTCCTCCTCCTCCTCCTCCTCCTCCTCCTCCTCCTCCTCCTCCTCCTCCTCCTCCTCCTCCTCCTCCTCCTCCTCCTCCTCCTCCTCCTCCTCCTCCTCCTCCTCCTCCTCCTCCTCCTCCTCCTCCTCCTCCTCCTCCTCCTCCTCCTCCTCCTCCTCCTCCTCCTCCTCCTCCTCCTCCTCCTCCTCCTCCTCCTCCTCCTCCTCCTCCTCCTCCTCCTCCTCCTCCTCCTCCTCCTCCTCCTCCTCCTCCTCCTCCTCCTCCTCCTCCTCCTCCTCCTCCTCCTCCTCCTCCTCCTCCTCCTCCTCCTCCTCCTCCTCCTCCTCCTCCTCCTCCTCCTCCTCCTCCTCCTCCTCCTCCTCCTCCTCCTCCTCCTCCTCCTCCTCCTCCTCCTCCTCCTCCTCCTCCTCCTCCTCCTCCTCATCCTCCTCCTCATCCTCATCCTCCTCATCCTCTGCCTCCTCATCCTCCTCATCCTCCTCCTCCTCCTCATCATCCTCCCCCTCATCCTCCTCATCCTCCTCCTCCTCATCATCCTCTTCCTCCCCCTCCCCCTCCTCCTCCTCCTCCCCCTCCTCCTCCTCCTCATAAGGATGATGTGTACGTTTCTCTCTCGTTCCATCTAAGGACTGGCTGCGGTAGTTCGGTGGGAGACAACAGACCATTATATCCACGGTAAACAGTCCAGAAATGATATGAATACTAAACTCGGAGCCTGCAGGGTTCAGCGTTGTGCAAACAGCCACAGAAGGTCAATGAAATTCAGTATTTTAAAAACTCTAGAAGGGGCCAAAAGATAAAAGAAAAAACATCCTCTGTACATGTGATTTAGCAGTGTTTTTTTAGCCGTCATCAATAGATTATAGACAGCTAGATTTATCGTTGAACATAACATCAGCTGCACTGATTTTGCTCAGATACGATCCTTTTGAAAAAAGCAGATTTTGGAAGATCACTGTTTTCAATCCATGAAATGTGCGTTGGTNTCCTCCTCATCCTCCTCATCCTCATCATCCTCCTCGACCTCTATAACCTGCTGCAGGTTTCCCTCGTCCGGCGTCCAGTGTTTGTGCATCATATGGACATGCATGTAATGTGTGTGTGTGTGTGTGTGTGTGTGTGTGTGTGTGTGTGTGTGTGTGTGTGTGTGTGTGCAGATACATAAGAGGCTCTTTAGCACCTGTTCACATAGCAACCAGCTCTCAACAAGACATTTGGAGAAGTGAGAGTGGGAGGAAGAGGGAGAGAGAGAGGGAGAGGGAGAGGGAGGGAGAGAGGGAGGGAGAGGGAGGGAGAGAGAGAGAGAGAG